GGAGGAATGTATGTTGCAAATCACAAGAAACTTTTATCATGTGAGAATTTTTTTTTTTTTTTAAGATTTCTATTGTTGAATTTTGTTGTAAATTTTTTTATTTCATTATAATCGGTATTATAATTCTTTCATAAAAAGTTAAATTTTTGATAATTAAAAAAAAAAAATTTAGTTTGATTTAGTTTTTTTTTAATATTTAAAATTTTTGATAAATAAAGAAAATTTTTATGTGCATATAATAATATATAAAATTCGATGTAACAAATTTTACATGATAATTATTAAAAAAAAATTCCAAAAAAATAATTTTAATTTAGTGAAAATTTCTAAGTTTACACGGGACGTATGTATCCGTATCACGTGACATTATATTTGTCACCAGTGACACTCCCCTCCACCTTTAGTTTTTACTATTTATTTCAAGAATTTTTTCGGTGAAAAATTATTATTCATCACGCATTATCCGTCACATAGTCATTATACGGGTAATTTCTTAATTTCTTAATGCTGGTTAATGCTGGTCATATCCCGTGATCCGTGTACAATACATCCGTGTACAAATAGAAATTTCCTTAATTTATATGTTAAAATTTGATTTGTTTGATTTAGGTTGGTTTTTATAAAAACATTAATAACGAGTTAGATTAGGGTTAGGATTAAGGTTAAGATTAGAGTTAGGGTTAAGTGATTTATTAAAAAAAATAATTACATTTTAGCGATAGAATTAGGGTTAAGGTTATTGTTAGTTATTTATAAAATATTATTACTTAAATATGTTAAAATCTTACATTTTTTCTATTGCAATAGTGACCGCATCGACCGGGTAGAATTGCTAGGTAAATATATATATATATATTTTTTTTATTAAGTAAAATATGTTTATAAGATAAGATGCCCAAGATCTTCATGATGAGCGTGATCACCAAATAAGAAAATCGAAAAAGAAGAAAGGTGTTGTAATTTATATAGATTAAAGAAAAGTTATAGAGAGTTTTGACTGTATCTAGTGGAGTTTTTAAGAAATGCGATCGCTCAAGTATTGGACAGGTATTATTTAGATAGCTATATTTCTATTAATATTACCAATAAGTACATTATCAATAAAAAGTGTAAATTAAAAAATCTAAGATGAAAGTAAATACATGTAAGAATATGAATACAAAATCATTATTTTTTAGACTATGAAAAGGATCTTAAATTGTAAGAGATGGTTCAGAGATATCCATCCATTAAAACTAGAAACATTTCCAAGCCGAAAAATTTGACTAACAATTCAATAAAGTGAGCGCCGTTCTGATTTTACGAAACAGAATGTGCACGAAATTCTTTGGAATACTGCAAAATTGACGATGGCATCACAATCATCCTCGTCGAAATTTGGTGGGGTCTCCAGAATGAATGTGTGCGTACCACCACGAGCAATAAAGATATTGCCCATAGAAATTATGAATCGTCTTTCCTCTTGTGACACTCCCAAAATCAGGAAAATCCGTCATCATATAGGTCGTTTTTGGCCTTTAATGTGCAATGGTACCAAATACATTGGAACGAACCAATTTCTCTTGTTGCAAAGATTTGGCATTGCATTTCAATAATAATTAGTTTTGGTGTATTGGCATATAGCAAGCAGTGTTGTAAAGGACGTAGTGTTGAACATACGTAAATACTTTGGTTTTTTTTTTTTTTTTTTAAAGTGCGGTAGCTTTCTTTTGGTTGAATATAATATGAAATAAAATATGTGAAATTTGATTGACTAGATCATTGAAAAAAAAATTTGAAAAACGTGAAATAAAAGATTTTCAGTTTGATCCCGATAAAAATCATGAACCCTCAAAAACGAAGGTATAAAAAAAAGGGTGCATGTATAATTCGGTATTTGGTAACATAAATAAAATCAATCAGAACAAGAAAGTGATGACTGACCGCCTTTTCTGTTGAAAGTAGATGTTGTAGAACAATAATAAATTAGTCATACCTTTATTTCACGGGAATAAACATATTTATTTTATTCATGGAAATTCTATATTAAAATAATTTTATGTAATGAACTCTATTTATGTAGACTGTCAAAATACCAACTTCTAAGGAATGATCTCCGGTCATAAGTTTTCCAATTTCGCTAAACTTGGTACCAATCAAAGGAAGTGTGAAGTATAGAATCATCATGGACATTCAAAGCGCTAACGCTAAAAAGGAAAGTGATTAGTGCTTTATAGGAGGAAAATGATTTTTCATGGGAAAGTTGATTTTTTTGAAAAAAACAACAATTTTTTTCGCTTGGTAACGTAACACCACATTAACCAAAATTTTCTTATTTTAGTGTACGATATAAATTATACATGACAGCAATAAGTAAAAAAAAAAAAAAATATGTATATATATATTTTTTAATAACGTTTAGAGAATTTTTTTCTTTGTACCGAACCGCCACCAAAAAAAAAACTTGAAACAAACAAGATTTTTCAAGTACAAACTTTATTGAATATGCAACAAGATAAGGATCATTAAAAAGGAGTGAGAACGCAAAAGAAATTTTAATCTGAAAAAGGAACAACTATTAGTAATTGACATACGCAACGTACGCCTTACACGAATTGTATTCTTGTTCTCAAAAAAGGTAAATTGTCGGATAACGAACGGATATTACAATTTATGTTATTTATGTTATTTTACAATTTTTTATTTGAATGGTGTTTCAAATATGAGACTTTTTACAATAATAACAATAGCAAGAAGGTTTCAAATGTTTGATTTGATGAAAAGGAGTAGTAAATAAAGAGCGGACAAACTTAAATTTTCGTAAAAGCCGATGTAACACTATATTGATTGTAATTAATTGCTTCAAAAGTAAAACTTACAAAGTTAAAATGAAGTTAGCCTGGTGAAGCAAAAAGCCTAATTGCATAATCAAATTTGCCCCACGCACAAACTTGTAATTGTTTCCCAAAAAGTAAATTATTGTCTCGAAATAATAATGGTCCTTTTTGTTGTCTCATATCATTTTTTTTTTTTACCCTTAGTTCCTATTAACTTCTAAAAACGGAAGTCGCAAAGATAATGATTACTTATATAAGAGTTGAAAAATGTGGTCTCTGTAAATATTAAATCCCCTTACAAATTAAATCCTTTGAATTTCTAATAGTTAGTTATAAGAAAACTTTTTTCTTTTTATCGTTTATTATAAGTTAAATTTTTTTTATTTTATTTTATTTTTTTCCTTCAATAATGTCGTCGCAAAATCCATTAAATGAAAAATTACAAAAAACATTTTACATTCCAAAAGGGAAATCAGGATACGTTATAGGTCATAAATCTACACATTTGAATCAAATGAAGTATGTAATTTAACAACTTTTCAAAATCAAAAAAAAAAAAAAAATGGAAAAGTTATCGTTTATTATGCTAAACGAATTTTTTTTATTTTGTTTTCTTAAGAGTGAGTTCAGGTGCAGATATACGAATAATGGGAACAAGGAATAACCCGTGTCAAGCGATAATTAAGGGTACTGCGGAACAAATTAAAATGGCCGTTATGTTATTACAAGACACCTTGGTTCGCTCCTATCCTATTTCACCCTCCATCGGATTCACTTTATTGAACGTCTCGGATGAGTACGAGTCGCGTTACTTTGGTAGTGATATTAAAATCATCTCGTTTAATAAGGCTTCCAATGATGATCACGAAACCATCCCCTTTGATAAATATATTTTTGAGATTAACGCTTTACCAACTTGCCCTTACCCTTACCCTTCAACTTCAATTACTCCTGAATCCCATGTCACTTGTAAGAATTGTAATCCATCGGATTTTTCAACCAATAGTTTATCAGGGAAAGTCTATAAATTTTCCACGATTCAAATGTTGGAACCTTGTTTAAACCATATTTGTGAAGATCTTATTTATGAAAAAAAAATTACGGCGGATGAGGAATTTCGATTAAAAGTTTGCTTTGGTAAAGTAATATTTACTAAAATCGAACAAACTTCTCTTACTTTATGTGAGTGGAATGGATTAAAGAGAGGTCATAAAGGAGTCACTACGTCATTCAATCATGATGTTGGATCTCCTGAGAGAGATTATTTAATTGAAAGGTTAATTCAAGATTTTGGATTTCGTCAAGTTAATCTTGTTGAGGAAACTGTCATTACAATTTTATTTACCGAGAGAAATACAAATTGTAGAATGAAATTATATTTTGACCCAATAGATTGTAAGTGATAAGTTGAGAATTTTACCATATTTTCCCATCAAAAATGAATCTTTCTAAACGGAATTTATTTTATTCACAGCTACTTGGAAGATAAGAAAGCTGACGAAAAATATTTATCGACACGCAATAATCGACATCGTTTCGGGAAAGGAATCCCCCGATTTACGCTTCTTGATCAAGTCTCAAATCCCGTCATTTTCCATTGTCCAAAAGTATCATACAACGATCAATAATATTCAAAGGTCCAACAGATTCCTCGGTAGAATGAATTTAATCAACGGACCATTGCCATTACAGTTGGATTGTAGTAAAATGTATATTAGACAAAGTGATTTTGTCTCAAATCGAAATTTCAAATGTACGAGTGTTAGACAATCAATCATCAAAAAACAATTTATGTAAGTGATTTATAAAAATCTCGTTTATGTTTCTTTGGAATTAAATTTTTCTGAATTATATCTCATCAATTCTCAATAATTAATTAATTTAGAAATGGAATTTATACGCTTAATTTCATGTCTACTTTACAAGATGAAGAAGGTAGAGTTACTTCGGAAGATACAGTCAATTTGATCCATCATTCTTGGATCACGCCGTCGTTTTCGGGACGTGCGCCAATAAATCCTGAAGATCCGAAATTTCACGATTCAATCATCGAATCCATTAATCTCGCAAGAAGGCTCACTGAAATGATCGGACGTTGATCGAAAAAATTTTTTTTTTTTTTTTTTTTTGAAATATTTTATTATTAATATCGCTTTTCATTAGAGATAAGGTTTCAATTCTTGGAAATAGTTTAATGGTTAAAAAAAAAAAAAAAAAATTTTTAAAAAAAGGGAATTCTAGAAATAGAAAAGATTTTTTTTTTTGTTTGTTTGTGTTTCACCTTATCCTAGACCCCAGTTCAGGGTTATAATTCTAGACCCTGTACCTCCTTCCCTTTTCAGTAAAAATTTAATTACCAAAATTGGTATTTTTGAAAGAGAATTTTTAACAGTCATTATTTGTCTTGGAAAAAATTTTTCGCGGTATTTTTTTTTAAGAAAAATTTAGATTTTCATGATGTTTATTTTACAATTTAACTATTCATTTTATAATAAATTTCTTGTACTTTTTGTTAAACAATATTGTTTGTTGAATTTTTATTGTATAAAATGCATACAAAAATAATTATATCTCCACAAATATCTAATTTAGCTTGTTTTGTTTGACAGAAGTGTTTAAATTACGTCATAAAGTATCTGAACAAGATATTACAAAAAATAAGAATAACCTCATGAATATTTAAGCAAACTTAATAAAAATTCATATATGATTACTTCCATACCTGCTGAACATATGCTCGTTTTGACGGTTAATTTTTGATCAAAGTGCTGAAATTACGCTGTGAAATTAAAAAAAAAAACACGATACGCGACATAGTTGTTTAGAACAGTTTTATATTTCGTAAAATGAAAATATTAACAAGTAAAAAATTGAAAAATAAAAGGCTGTCATAAAATAAAAGAAAAGAAGAATAAGCAAGACAAGAAGAAAGAAAACATAAATGCTGATTTTTGTCACGTAACAAATATAAAAACGCGGAAATAACCAAAAATTACTAAATTAGGCAACGGGTCTAGATTAATCAACCTGAATCTACATAAAAAAAAAAAAAAAAAAATTTCTATAAAATGTGTCGGAAAGTTTTTCGAGTTGCTTCTTTACTGAATGTTGCATTTTCCATTAAGAAATTTTCTTAAAGTAATCATCATGTAAATGACAGTAAAGAATGGCTCACGTGGAATTTCTTTCATAGGGAATGTTGCGCTTTTGTTTTCGTCCAAAGAATTTCATTTTTGTAAAATTTAAGAAAAAATTTCTATTAATACTTTGCCTACTTTACCGATATATAAATGGTGCTTTTGCTTCCTTACTTTATGTGAAGCATTAACGACAATTCATGGAAATGAACGATTTCAAGTAAGCGATTATAGCTAGCTCCTTATACTCTATATTGATATCCTTTATCGCGAAATTAATTATCTCTCCCCCCCCCCCCCCCCCCATTTTAGCGTAAAATCGAATTTACTCATTTATCAAATCTTTTTAATCCACAATCGCAAATGATTTTGTATTTGGCTATTAGTCGATTATTCTCGCTTCAATTATATTGTCAGCTCAAGTTATGGATTGGATGTTATTGAAGCTCACTTGTGGATTCATTTGTGTAGACGAAGAGACCAATGAGAATAGTCCTTTCGGTTCGAATTATATGCTAGCCACTTCTGGATTTATGGTGATTAATTTTGGAGAGAGTAAAAATTTACTGCACCACGCTTACGCTACTCATATTTAAAGATTACGTTGGCATTTTGTGTTCCTTTGACATTTTTGGATTTGGTTGATAATATCAAGGTAAATGTTTTAGCGAATTATATTGTTTCAATTTCTCAAATATTATGCTTATTTTCGGCGTCTCCCGTAATTTCTAGTTTCTTTCGGGGCTCTCGTTTTTATTATAATCACGTGGATCGTTACATTCATTCATTACCAGGATGACTAAAGATTATATTCCATTGGTCAGCAATGATCAGAGTCAGGTTGTCGGAACAGTATTATTTAACTATGCGTTTATCACCACCATTCCAAGCTGGGTTAACGATCTAGTACATATCAAATATTGATTTAGTATTATTATTATTATTTTTTTTTCCTTTGAAAAGCAAAGCATCTTAGCGACCTGACGTTTGTATCAGAAAATCTATATGGTATTCTGTGGTAATAAGCACAGCATCATACAGTGCATTAGGAATATTAGGAGGAATGGCATATCAAATGGGTTTAGCTTCAAATATTATAGCACAAATTAATGCATCGTCACATCTATCGCAACTTTTGTATTCCGGTTGCGGTTTTATTAACGAGTATACCAGTAGAATTTATTGTCGTTCGTTATAATTTGATGAGATCCGGTTTTTGCGAAAAAGGTGATTTTTTTTTAAAAAAAAAAATTATTATTATTATATTTATTTAATTATCTTTTTTTCTAAATAATTTTGTTGTAGGAATGTCAAACGTATTGTCGATATTACTACCTTGGCTGATTGTTATACCATTTCAAACAGGAAATTGGTTAAATATATTTACAAATTGGGCCAGTTTATTCTTTATTAGCACGAGTAATTTTTTTATTTATATTATTTAAGTCAAAAGCGAAAGGGACAACATTATATCATAGAAATTGTTCATCGGGAAAAAGGTTTAGAATCGACTCCGAAAAAGGAAAATAAAACAAAACAATCAAATGAATTTCTTGTTAATTCAGCAATTGTAACTCCTTCATCTCCGAAACTCAAAGTTTCTGGTACTCCTATTGGTACTATCAATGAAAAGACTTCTAGTAATGTAGATGTGGTTGATAAAGATCAGAATCGACCATCACGCGCTATCAATCTAGAAAAAGCTCGTCAAATTCTGGATATGCACATTCTAAAAAAATTAACTCTTATCCATGATATTGATGAAATCTATTTGAACAAACCTTCAAAAAATTCTTTTGTCGCCTTCCCTATTCAAAGGAAAAGAGAATAATTATTTCTTTGGTTGCGGGAATTACTTCTATTATTTTGGTTGGTGCAATTATTACTTATTAAATTATAAGTAGATTGAAAAAAAAAAAAAAATAGATGTAAAGTAGAAATGAATATTTTTTCTTAATAATTTTTTTTTTTTGATTATTTAATTTTTAATTTTTGATCAAGTAATTTTTTAATTGATTAAAAAACAAAAAAAAAAAATTAAAAATGTACCTTTAATTTTTGGGTTATGTTTTATAATTGTTAATTATAATGTTATTTGATCTTTTTATTTCAGCGATCAATGGATCTGTTGTTGATTGAATCGGAACATCATTGTGAAGTTTTAGATCATTGTCTTGAAAATATTTATAATCTTAAAGTTTGATTATTAGATATTCCAATCGTTCGAATCAATATTAAAATTAGTATAAAGATGAATAAAATTAAGTAAAAACTAAATTTTTGCTTTAAGTCTTTATTTAATTATGCCTATTTATATATATTTGTTATAGGTATGAGATAAACTTTAACAATATTATCAACAATTAAATGAGAATTTAATTATATTTAGCTCATTGTGAGATAATTCAAATAAAAATGATTTTTATTTGTATGTGGGTTATTGATCAAGAAATACATATAAATTAAATAGGATTTAGGATTTGGGATTTGGTATTGAAATTTAAATCTAGTATAGGATTTGAGATGGAATGAGATTCTATAGTATAAGGTATAGCAACTATATTCCTACTTTATTATTAAAATAAAAAAATAAGCTCCTTTTGAAGGAGAAAATATGATAAATATTAACTATTAAACCAAATTTATGATCAAAGAGGTTTGCTGTTTAGATCATATGATTTATTATATCATAATAAATCACAACCATTTGTCCACCTTGTTTATAATAAAGGACCAGACAGACGAACTTCTTCTTTGAAATCTGAAATCTTAAAAAAAAAAAAAAACAAAACAAAAATAAATTAACAAAATTCAATTCCATAAAATGTACATTACTGACGTTACTAAAAGATGTATAAAATATTTACCTGATCCTCTCCGACAACACTAAAGTATACAAAATATTTGTGTATATACTTTGTTCGTATCTTTGATCGTTCGCTTGGAAAAAGGCGACCTTTACAGTACCAAGCTTTTTTGAATCGAGTTGCCTTTATTTTGTGGTCCTCTCCACGCTTAGGAAGGAAGGAAACCATTTTTGTAGTAGTAAAAGGTAAAGTCGATTATTTAATTATCCAAGTTTTTTTTTTTTTGGTAGAATAATATTTGGTTAAGGTTTATTTACATTTTGGTTTAGTGGATGTACTATACTTACATTTAGTAATTAGGTTACATTTAAGGCAATTTCGATTCGTAAATGATGGATGGTGATTGGTGGTAAAGAAATTTTATTAAAAACGGTAATATTTTATAAAACAAAAAAATTTAATAGTAAAAATAAAAAGGAAACCACATTAAAAACTCTATAAAGTCACATATAATTTACATTTACAATGGTAAATATACTCGTTATGTTTCTAAAAAAGATTATGTAACTGCGCAGCGATAAAAAAAATTTTATTTTGGTGATCTAAGATGCTTTTCTTTTGACCGTTATCTTATTAAATTTTTTTTTATGTAAATAATAAAACAACTCGATTAAATTAAAATTTTGGTATATTGTTATTTACCATTTCGTATAGCCTCAATTTCATCATTTATCTAAAAGGTGTCTACATCATCTCATGTAGCACGAGGATATCTTTTAATCACATTTCCCCACATGGCCTACTTCATAAAGGCTCCATCGGATTTGTTCATTTCATTTTCATATAACTTTTTCCCTTAAATAAAAAGAGCATCACCGCAAATAAAACTACTTAACATGTGATACTACAGACAAATCTTTCAGGACGACGAGTATTTTTTTTAAGGATGTATCAAATAACCTCAAAATACTTATGAATAAAGAAAGGAAATACAAAAGTAGGGAATAGATCTTCAGACACAGCATTGACACGTTCTTTTGATATTTTCCAAAAAAAAAAGATCTTTTCCCTCATCTAAGTATTGAGTAACAATTTCTTCAGGAGGTGAGTATCTGCATTTAATTCGTCTCCTTGAAATCCAAAAATTCTAATTATTTTATTTTCAAAAGTTCAATAATATGTTTTTGACTTGTAATAGTTGGACGTTAGGTATCTCGGCATATTCTACATTATTAATAATTCTGGCTTGACTACCGCCTTGGACCCACAAGGATAATTCTTCAAACCTCTGGTCTCAGAGGATGACCCTTACTCTCTCTAACAGATAAATAACTATCGAATCAAGCTAGAATGCCAACCCCCAAGAGTTATAATTTAATAGAGCTTGAACTTTCAAAGTAAGAAATCGTGGCTTCATTAGTACTAATTCAGGAACGATCTCAATGCCCTCTCGACAGTTTGGAAATACTCTAATCAAAGAACAGCATGTTGGCGTGTTTAACCGCCCTCTCTCTAATCCTGTTTTTCTATGAAAATTTTAAAGACAATTTCAATAAAGTGGTGTATTTTGTGTACGAACTTTTCCAATCAGTTACACTAATATAAAAAACAAATATCGTACCAATATTCTATCATCTGCTTAAGAGATGACTAGGTACATAATTTTTATGACCTGATGCATCTATCAAAAAGCACGTCCACTTTCTACTGATTTCCCTGTAATAATAAATAAAATAATACGATTAACCCTTGCACGTTCTAACTTATATCATGTGCCCATTATAAATACCATGTCTCCAGTCTTTTGTTCTTTAGCTTCCTTTTCGTTATCCGTTTTCCGATCCAAGAACCTTTTTTCATATACAATGTAAATTAGTATTTACAGAAGTAAATTAATTATTGACTCTGAATGATACAAGATATTAGCGCATCTAATTACAAATTGAAATAACATCAAAAATTCACTATCATTTTATATTGTTTGGAGCTATATGTCAATTGTTGTCCCTCCGGATATAACTATCAAAGAACATCAAATGATAATACTAAGCTACACGTCCTATAAACACACTCTTTACCATATAATTCCTCAATAACTTAATCATTCACATGCTTTACCTCTTCCGAATTCTCTTTAAGAGTTTTGCTTATATTCTCTTCGGATCAAGACATATTTATTTTTTTTTACGGGGATTAAATAAATGTTGATCCATTTATTATAGTTTTTATTGGCACACTTTGAGAAGTATTAAATATTGGCCGACTTGATTATCTTATAAATTTTAATAACATGACATTTCCTAATATATTAGGGATAAAATACCCGCCTTTTTCTATTTATAGTCAAAAAATTTTTTTGATAATCATGCCCGATAAAGGTTTTGTCTCCGTATTTGACAGAAATAATTTTTTGCTGGAAATATTTAACAAAAGTAAATTAGTGTCAATTTAAGCAATTATGTCTATGCGTTAAAACAACACGAGATGTGTAAAAAGGTAATTACGTTTTATTTTAATAAAAGTGTGTTCATACAAGTTCATTGAATAAAACCATTTATAATTTAGAAATACGGTTTAAATGAAACTGGCGCTATATGATAACAACCGAGAGTTTTATCATTAATACACCAACATTGTTAGTAAAACATTGAATCACGAATGTAAATTTTCTAAAATTATATCTGAAAAATATAAAATATTTTTTTTAAAAAAAAAGGTAATATTAAATAATTCTTGTTATTCATGCGTGAATGTTTAACAAAATTTCTATAATACCGATTGATCTTATTATTTATCAAATTTATTTCTATCATGCGAATTTAGATAAAATGTGGTTCAAAAATGCAAGTTGTCTTTTGTCGCATTATAACTTACAGCATTTCTTCAACTCAAACATCAACATTACGCGATACTAAATCCTCGTAGGTACGTAATATGAGATTATAACCATATATATATATATATTATTCGAAATTAATTAATTTGCTATTATTTTTCAAAGCTGCAGATCAACTTTTTTCCGGTAGCGTTGTTGAATTTGGGAGGAACTAAAAGATTGTAGACCTTTGGTATTATTATATTGAAAATCTTTTCATTATTTATGCATCTAGCCTATTGCAATCAGATATCGAACAACGTAAGATTATTTCATTAAAATTTTTAATAGATACATTAATTCTTGTCTATCAACTTTAACAATTATCGCATTAAATATTGGTTTGAATTAAAGTTAGGTGGACAGAATATATACTTATGATATCAAAGAATTCATATAACCAATAAACTAATTCGGCTGTGACTGTATTAATTCGAGAGATCGCTAAAGCAACTTGTTGATGCTTTAAGAGTTGATCCTCGCTTACTTTATGCGCCGATAATCAAGGTATCGTTTAATATTGATATTTTCATTATGGATTCCTTCAAGGCATTAATTTTCTTTTAAATTACTTTAGTTGAATTAGTAATGAATGAAGGCCAATTATGAGCATACAAGGATTGGAATATAGATTATTATTTAATCCATAAGTTAATACTGAATTCATAAGGTTTTTTGAAAAATTGATCTTTAATTAAATATATAAAGTCTATATTTCTTATATTCTTTTGAATGATCGTATCTATTATATGTGATTAATATGATAAAATTTTTATTTTTAAATAAAACTATTACAACTTTTAAATAATAGCTGTCGCATAAATTTGTGATTCTCCTCATTTTTCTCACTGTACAAACATCGTCTCGAAATACTTTATGTCTTTTGGCATTTCAGCTCGTTTCTTATCAGAAATATCCTATCGTTCATGATGCAAATGATATTACACTTCTAGCACAAGGGATGCTTCTTTGATAAAAGTTGGAAATCCAATCATGAAATAACTACCGTTGCAGGATCATAAGTAAAGCTTCTATTTTGGTTAAAAAAATAATCACAAACAATTCGTTTTCGTCTAATTACTTTAACTTTATTTATGTTCTTGTAAAAATCATAATAAAAAATTTTACTTCAAATTATAACTAAAAAAT